CATCGCTGCGCTTGCCCCCCCCCCCCAGCCATGGTTGATCCATAACTTGCGTGTGGGTGTGGGCGTGTCCCTTCAGGGGCGAGGAAGCGAGCGCTTGTATTTTTTTTTTCTCTCTTTTGGGGTCCTTTCCCAACGCGGCCCAACGTGAAAAAAAAGCGCCGCCCGCAAACGCATAGGACGTCGGTCGGCCCTTTTGCTTTCAAACGGCCGTTTTGAGCGATTCGGCGACGGGAAAGCGGTTCTCCAGAAGCAACGCTCGAAAGACGCGTGAAGCCTCGGCTTTTGCTTTGACGCGGCCGTCGGCGAGCGTGCGGCGGGCAGAAACAAACGCGCTCCAGTGGTCCCGATTTGCGAAGCGTCGCGGCCTCGGAGGTTTGCGGGTTTGAAGTGTGGCCTCGTTTCTGCTTGCAGCGATGGCCGGTCTCATCGTGCCGCCCATGTGAGACGACTTCGGCCCCGGCTCCGCCCCGGCTCCGCCCATCCCCCCACCACCCCCGCGCACTCGCCATCCATCGGCGAGCCCGACGGATCGTCCGGCCTCCGCCTCCACGGTCGCGTGACTGCGATGACGCCACTTCACAGACGTGGGTTTTGCCTCGTTGGGGGGGGGGGGCGAGGTTTTTTTTCCCAGGAAGGTCCTGATGACATCATCATCATCGGCCAATCGGCTTTGGGCAAGCGGGCGCCTCTGCTTGTTTGCCTCCAACGTTTGCATGACGCTTGCTTGAATAGTGCGTAAAAATGGCAAGGTTTTTGTTTTTGGGGGGTGGGGGGGGGTCATCTTCTGGGGACGTCTTTATTGAATGCAAAGTTACGCTCCAAGGAGGATCTGCCACTTGCTTTTTTTTTTCACATCACACGAGAAGAATGTGGAAGCTTGAAGGCTTTTTGGAAGTCCACAATTGGTCCGTGCGGCCGTCAATCCAGCGGGAGCGACTTCCTGAACATGGAAAAAGTGGGGCTTGAAAATCCTTTTGGCCCTCCCCCTCCCCCGTTTTTTTTTTCCCCAAAAGCACTTTGTGTCGTGAGCACCGTCGGCCGAGCGTGACAGTTTGGCCAGCAAGCCAGGAGGACCTTTTGGTTTTTTTTTTTTTTCCTCTCTCCTTCTTTGACCTTTTTTTTTGTTGGCTTTTTCCGCTTTTTCTCGCTCTTAGTGTGCGGCTTCCGTTTTTCCGTATTTCGAAGCTTGATTTGATGTTGGAAATCTCCATGGTTGTTGTCTTTTAGAAATTGTGAAAAAAAAAAGGTTTTGTAAACAAAACAAAAAAAAAAAAACCTCACAACATTGTTCAAAACATGTTGTCCACTTTTTGTAAAGGCGTTTTGTGTCACATGTGCGCACCAACAAAGCTAAAAGCTAAAAAAAAAGAAAAAGCAAGCAACGGTTGATGCGCCGTTTCCATTCGCCACCTTTCCACTGAAATGTGTTTTGGGCGCGGCTCGCTGCGCCGCTCCCGCTCTTCTTGCTCTTCTTGCCCAGGCGAGCCTTTCCTCGCTTTTTGCTTTGGGCTCCGGAGCGCGCGCGAAACGGAACGTCTCCAGCGCCGCTCCGTCCCGGACCCGGAGCGGGACAAATGGCAACGGCTTTTTCGACGTCGTCCTCAGAGGGCTCGGGTTGTTTTCCAGCGCGCGGGGATGTCGGCAAAGTCCTTTCAGGGAGTCAACTCCGCCCCTTCCTGTTTGCTGTTCGCTGTCTTGGGGTTTTGATTTGCTTTTTCTGATGCAATTTGCGTATTTGTGCTCACCGGGCCAAATGTATCCGAGAGTTGACTCCCCGCGCGTCGTCCTTCAGACGCCCGACCGCGCCGAGGTCCCCGCGTGCACGGGCGCGCCAATCCGTCCCATGTACGCGCATACCTCCGCGTCGATGCGCGAGGTCGCTGCCGACGTGCAAACCTCCGCGCGCGCATTCGCACATGGGGGGTCCGCATGTTCAAGCGCGCAGCCGTCATGTGTGCGGTCTTTTGCCGACCGGTGCTTTTTGGACAGAAAGAAATAAAGATGACATCACCCGAGCGACTCGGCGCCTGGTCTCTCTTTGCTCACGTTCTTCCGTCGCTTCGGTTGCGCCCGTTCGATCCGAAGGCGGGAGTTGCGATTCTGCCGGGCGTGCTCGTGCGTGCGCTTCTCAAGTTGGGGGGGGGCAACCTGCACTCGGAATATAATGACCTCAACGGAAGCGGTGGCGGCGCCCCTGGGGGCGGGGGGGG